TAAAGGAGGAAACTCGGGAAACAAACCTACTGATAGTTCCTCGACTTCTGCATCTAATACCGCTTTCAAGAAATGAATGGGAGAGGAACGGTTTATTCAGCTATATTGTCAAATGATTATTAATTGGCATCCGAAAGCCTAAGTATGGTCGATGGTGAGTGTATCCGTTGAGGAGGGTTACCCGTCCCTTGTTCGTCGCGAAATACTCCTATACGACCAAGCGTATCAAAGAGCTTCTGTTGAAGAAGCCCTAATCACTGCCAACTCATGGCGGGGTTTCCCACAAAAGTGGAGGACGAAAACTCAATATCCAGGATGAAAACCTCGTTGGTGAATCACAGACAGTTCACCTACAGTAGGTAGCTAAAAACCCTGACTCCAAAACAACAAAGAGCCGTACGAATCACACCCACCCAATCACACCTTACTGGTTGTAACAGTGGTTAACGGCTCAATTGGAAATGTTCTGGGCACATTTGACGTTTGTCCCCGTCCGAAGGGTGCATGACCTGATCAACTGAAAACCGATCCCCAATGGAAAGCGGTTTTCGCATGCCGCCCCACTGCCTTGCAGATCAGGCTTTAGCTGGCCGAAGGCTCCGATTGAAAATCACACAAAAACATTTAGTTGCTTTGGGTAACTTGCTATATTCGAACCACAAGCAAACCATGGGTTGATCTTTCTTATACAGGTGGTTGTACCGTGATTTGTTTGGCACACAGTCTGTGAGAAAATCAACGGATTAACTGAAAATTCAGTAAAATCATTTATTAACGGTTAAAACATTCGGTTTTGTTTGCATCCACTTAAAAGCTTTGGTAGGAATGGAAATAACACTGCTCATGTTTGGCGCGTGTACTACACCTTCAAGTTGTATAGTGCTACTAAACGATCATGTCGATGCAATCCAAAATCCGAGTTCGTACAGGGGAGCAAACTTTGATCGAAGCTCACCAGTACTCCTGCATAAATCATACAAACTGCACTGTCTTGGGACTTCCAAGTAGACCATACACACCAGTATAACAATCGTTTTCCAGCTTACATATATGGTCGATGTTTCTTTTGCCTATTAAACAAAAACATCGGCGGGGTTGCATTTGCTATTGAGTTTCTTTTTTATGAGGAAAGAACATCAAGGTAAGGTATTATCTGTACCATCAACGACACTTACCTGGACAGAATTCTCCACAGCATCCGACCGTTTGCGTTTCATCCCCGCCAAAAGAGATGTCATTCCTGACGGGACATGACTGGCCGAGTGATCTGTGTCATTCTCATCATTCAAACTGATCTGTTTGGAGGTTATCCATTTGGCAAAACCGGTCAACTTGTGAATAAAATGCTTCTGACGCAGGAATGCGACCAATTCATGGATGCTAATATTGTCCACACCGGCTCGTGACAGCATCTGGTTGACAGGAACCACAGTCTCCTTGTTCTTTTGTTCCTTGTTCGGACTCGACGATAGCAGTAACATTTGAAGTCGTCGGAGCATGTGGATTAGTTGACGTAATCGAAGCGCTGTCAGAGCAGATAAACGCGTGCAGTAACGTTCCTGATAGGCACAAAATGTGGACAGCGTGAAACGCAAATCATCGAGACTCAACAGAACCGATAGAGATGCGGTAGTGGCTTCCAGTAGATTGTGTG